GACAGCAGCAGCTCACCAAAACCCTAGTACAGGCTCCAGAGGCAGGGCCTTGCTTCCCCAGCATTAGAAGTGCTGTGAACTCCTGAGGTGGTCGTGAAAAAACACAACGGATTACACAGGCTATTTTTAAAAGGCATTTCACAACTCCATTACTAATGGACCAAGTGTTTTGTCTGCTAACTCCTGCAAATACTGAACAGTGCAGTAGCTCTCCCCTCCATGCCCATTCCTGACCCGATAAGCACCACCAACACATTGCATGCGGCTCCTTTCTCCATCGATAACAGCTCTGGACAACAGCTCTGCCCACGCAGCTCAGCATCAGCCACAAACACCCAACTAAAGCACTGGGCACTCAAGATAAAGACTTCCTCATGAGCATGAAACGTTCAGCATCGCGTCAGCTCAGTGCAGCCTTTCTTCAACAGCAGACAGACCGCTATTGGACTTGCTTTAAAGAGGCCAGGGACAAGACCCTTCCCGCAGCTGGGATCAATGCGTGGATCCACCCAGCTTCACCCGTGAGGGGTCCAGAGCTGCTCAGAGATTGCTGTTTCTGACGAGACCCAAATTCTGGACAAAAGCTGTCCTGCACCAGGCTGGCACTGCTCCTGGTGAATGCTGACCACGCAGCCACAACTGACCGGGTGCTCTGTGTCAGAACAGACCTGGACTGCGTCTGTCAAGGTTACACGCGCTGTAACGCGACTGACGTTCAGTTTGTGCTGTAGTAACTGCTTTGGCTGCTCAAAAGCCAAAATTCCCGCAATTTTATGGAATATTACAGTGGTGTAATGATATGGGGCAGGACAGGGAAAGATATTCTAAATTGCCTGTATATTGGCACACGGTATCAGCAAAGTCTCTGTCCTGTACTGAACGTGACAGTGAGGAACCTTCCCTGTGGCACTGCCTTGAGAGTCTGCAGCAGATCACTCGTGTGCCTCCTTTAACAACAACAACAAAGCAGATGTGAAATTCAGGTCATAAAACAGTTGTCAATCTGTCAATGCATTTACCTGCTGTCCTGTGAGCTACCACCGCCCACGCAAAAAGGAAGCCAAAATCTCCTGAGATGTGCTTAACTGACACCTTGTCAAGGAATGGCAAGCTCAGTGAAGAAAACAAAGAAACAGAACACAACAAACAACCAAACACCTCTGTATTCAGAAAACACAGACAAGACAATGTTTAAAATAGCAGAGATTCATTGCCACAGGAAGTCGTTTATAAATGGAATTCCTCAGAGTTAATTGCCCTTATCTGAACCTAAGTGCTCTGCAGGACAAGAGGGGAGAGAGACGTGAAGAACAGCACAGATCCAGAGCGGAGCCGCTCCTCTCACACTTCCATGACACATATTTGTTTCTCACTTGCATTCTTTACACTGGAGTTAGAGCAGCTTTTCCCAGTGAGGAGTTTGCCATGTGCTCCACAGATACAAAACTACCAGCTTTTTTAGGCATCAAGACTCTCGACGAGAGCTCACGTGTTTAGAAACAGGACGCCACACAACTATTTCTGCAGTGGTTTAGGCTACTACGTAAAAGAACAATAATAAGAGGAGACTAGGAGCAATAAGGCACATGGCTTCTCTGTCCTGGGGACAAATCTGTTCTCCAGCTTTTTTAACTGTCCATTTTACCAGCCTGCGATGTCTTCAGCCACTTCTTTGGTTCGCATAGTTCAGCTCTCTTCCCATTAACAGTCTGAGGCTCCCAGTCCAAACTGATCCAGTTACTGGGCTGTGTGGGGATGGCCTGTGCAGCCCTCCATCGCCCACACGTTTGTCCATGGGAAGGACAGTGGCATTCCCTGCCTCCACTCACTGACACGCTGAGGGCCGAGCAGAGGCCGCCAAGGTCCATAAAGGTGACCAGGTCTCACTGATTTCAGCAAGAGCTCAGGTGCCTGATTTGAGGATCTGCATGAATGGCACAAAGATCTCACAGGAAGCCTAAGGACAACAGGAGCTCCCATTTCCCAAGCCCCAGGCCAGGACCTCACCACCAAACCAGCCTCCTTCAATGCCAACCTGTCCCAGCTGCGCAGAGCAGCCCCTCGGAGCTGCCAACGCTCGCATTGCCAAGCTGTGACCAACAGCCAGCGCTCACCATGGAAACAGTCAGACACACTACTAAATGCAGCCTCTGAACACGCCAGAACCTCCAAATACAGCAGTGACTAAAGCATGGCCATGCCTGACTGCCCTCTGGGGCATTTGCCTTGAATGTTTTCCCCTACAATCTTCAGACCATGACCTGCAACAGAAACCTGCTCCCCAGCTGGGTATTTCTGTGAGCTAAGATGCAGAGATGCAGCAGACGTGCATAGTATCGCTGCCACCAGCAACCCGAGCCAGTGGCTACCCATAGTGACTGATCCAGGTTGTGCAATAGTGAGTAATCGGTCCCAGCCGAGGAGGGAAAACAGATGGCAGAAGGCTGGTAAAAGCACACAGAACCACATGCTGCTGTGGGACTGCCGGGAGATCACACGCCCAGGAATGCAGAGAGATGTAAAAGCTTGCAGGGACAAAGTCAACACAAATGGTTAGTCTTGAGCTGAGACACAGTTTGGTTTTTATTCGTTGTTACTAAAATATTTGCCATGGCAAATAAACAAATGGTGGCGGCGGCTGCTGGGGACAGTTCAGGATCTACGTCATGGTGTCTTTCCTTGAGACATCTCTTGAGTGCTCCTGAGCGTTGCCGCAGGCCACTCAAAAGGAATGCAGCTTCCTCACGATGCACCTACCTGCGGCTGCTGTCAGTGAAAGAGCCTGAACCACGCTCTGAGAGCGCACAGATCCCTTTGAGGATGCCCACATTCCCTCCTGGTTCCAGGAGAGCAGTGTGTGTAATCACAGCCCTTCCCTCCTCAAGTGAAGTTGTTGATAGCAAAATAACATCACCATACTTGCAACTTCACCCCTGGAGGGAACAGGGCTAGATTCTTAAATCCTTGGTGAGAACAGCCTGGTATGAAGCCTGGGGAATTTGCTGTCTGATGGGGAGGACGGAGGAGGAGAGCCCGTACCTCTATTTGGTTCTGCTGCGGCGTGTTCACATCCCATATCGTTGGCACGTGGTTCAGGCTATCGGCGGGCAAGAAGTCCTTAGGATCTGCAATGTCGGAGAGGGAATCCGTAGGGGACGAGAAGAGGGAGTTGTTGGAGAGCTCATCGAGGTACGAAGAATCCTGAAATGGAGAAACGGCCACGGTTAGAGCGGGCAGCATGGGAAGAGCAGGCAGCTCCGTTCTCACAACTACTCATCCAGGAAGGTTTAATTTCTTGCTATTAAATGAGCAGCTCCATTACTTCATGCTCCACAAAACTTCCACATTAACTTGGAAATGAGGACATGCTCTAAGCAGCTGTTTTAAAATCTCTGTTTCTTGAAAAAGTAGGAGAAACACTGACTGGACAGAAGTGCTGTGTGTTCAAAACTCAGACTGCGCATCCCCACACGCAGGAGTGGAAAGAGCATTCACAAGACATCAGTCACCTCAACTTTCTATTTGATTTCATTGCTAACACACCCAAAGGACTCCTGTATTTCATTTACACACAGGATACAGCTACACCTGATCATGACACAGCTGCTAAATTGCAATTTATAACACGGCGATATCTGGAGGCTTTGGGAAAAATCAGTCTCCTCGTGGCGGGTACTGCACAGACGACACTGCCAGCAGTGCCGGCGTCATTGCAATCTGCATCCAGATAAATCTTGGTAAACCCTGGCAAATCTACTGACCCCTGTCCCAGGGCAGCCTCGGGCCGGATAACGGAATGTGCTTCAGGGATGAGGAGCAGGCTCTGCCCTTGCTCTTTTCCTGTGCCTGTGCTAAGGCAGCTTGCAATGGTTTTATTCTGTGCCAACCCAGTGACGATGCTGGTTTGAGTCACCCAGTCCATAGCTCAGAATGGGCCTTTGGTGCCCTCCCTACCCCCAACTCCCTGTCTGGTTTTTCATAGTTCAGGTGGCAAGAATCGACAGCCACAAAGCACTTCTCACTCTGAGCCCCTAGCTCCAGCACAGACCACGGCTCCTTCCTTGACTCCAGCACCTCCCCTCAGCTCTCCTGCGCATCAACCACCACTTCAAACTTTCCAAAGCAGAAAAGCTTTGTCTGCTGTTTACTGGGGAGCAAACGTACTTCAGAACACAGGCTCCAGCACACAGGTCCTGCTGGAGCTGTGTCTGTGTCCCCGATGGACCTGCACTGACCAGCGGGTCTGTCGTGTGCCCCACAAGGCGCTGCCAACACCAACAAGTTCTGTGGCTGCTCCCGAGGGCGGCTCTGAGCACGCAGCCAGCCCGGGCTCTGCTGGGCCAGATAATGAAGTGAGTGCAACAACGCTGTGGTGCGGCTGCCAGGAGAGCCCCGGCGTCTGATGTGAGCAGGAATTGCTGCTCATTTCCAGTTAAGGGTCAATTTCCTACTACAAGGAGAAAGGCAGCCAAAGACTTTTAAAAGTCACCCAGCTCTGCCTGACAGAAAACCATCAACAGCTGAACCTGTGTGCACGGTTCCCAAGGGCTTCAAGCCAGGAGCTGGGTCACGCTCTCCCCCGATGGCTATCCAAAGTTATGGGTTTGCAGTGTTTAAAACCATCAGGACACCTTCCATTCACCTTTTCCCAGACAGGTCTTGTTTGGCACCCGAGAACACAGTCCCTACCCCAAGCCATAGGCACAGGCAGCTGTGCAGGAGCACCGAGGGATGCACTAAAGCAAAGGCGAGCGGTAACAGAGATTGCAGGCATAACTCATGTGTGAAGTTTGTATCCTCAAATCCCAACCAGGGGACCCAAAGGCTCCAGGAGAAAGGGCTGTTTGTCAAGCAGTATGGCTGTGTGGACAGCCCCGACAGCCCCGTGGTGCTGACGGGCGACACCACCGCTGCCCGCGCAGCAGCAGTCAGGCAGTGCTTCCTGCGCGGCTCTGGCTCTTGGCATTTCTGTGGCGATTTCTGGATTCCCCAGAAGCCAAAGCTTTTCAGTCTGAAGCAGGCACCCAGATTTATCATCTCGGAACGAAGTGATCTCTGGGCACGGGACTCTGTTTCACACTTGAGAAAATAGGAAAACGCTTGGGTGAATGCAGTATTTCTTGGCCAGCACAAAGGCAAAGTGCACCCTGCAGCCCTAAGCAGCTCCTGATGCACTGCATGGGCAGTCTGGGTGGGATTCAAGCTAACGTTGCTCATGCTACTGGGGGTTTTCTTTCCCCACTAACTCCCACCTCCCAAGTTGTTTTAAATCTGAGATTAAAGGCGTTTATTCTGACTGCACACGGAGAGGACAGCATGCTTTACCTCTCTCAAGGAAACGCAGGCCTGGGAGAGCTGCGCTGCAGACAAGGAAGAGCTGAACCAAGGGGCTGGAGTTGCACAGAAAGCCTAGCTTTGTTTAGCCAGGGGTCTTTGGGTTTTTTTTCTTTCCATTATGAAAAACTTTGTTACACGGTTCCATTTTGGCATTTGCACGGCAGCAAGAAGGCTGCACAGCAGACCAGAGCAACCACTGCCCACTGGGGTCTGGAGAGAGGACAGCGCTGGGCTGGAACACAATGGGACGCGTGAAACCACCGCACCACAACCCCAGAGCCCCCTCCTGAGCCCCTTCAGCCCCCAGCCCCACCTCCACCACCACTCCCTCTCCTGGGGCACGCGACCGAAAGAGGAGGAAAGCAGGGAGGCCAATCCCAGGCCTGGACAGGACTTCAGTGGGCCCATCCTCTCCAGTGCCAGAGGCACCGGCCACAATCAGTCTCCCATTTGTCTCACCTAATTATGTTGCCTAAAGAGCACTAACACCAGTGCCAGGTCCCCGCCCTGAAGAGCTTCCAGCACAACCCCAGTAAACCAGACTTGCTCGTACACAACGCGCAGTGTAATCGTTTACTACAAGGCCGTAGGGTAACGACAGCCTGTATCATTACAGACAGTGCCCTGACTAATTCCTCCACTGGTTCCTATGGAGCAAACCTCAGCTACCTGAACGTCCTCAAGGGAATGGAAGGATCAACACCCAGACCATGGGCTCATGAATAGCAGAGTGAGCCAGGGCCCTCAATGGGATGAAGCCCCGAGCACTGCGGCTCATGGCACTGACTTTCTGTTCCTCCCATTACAGAGGGACCGACACATGGAGACCTTGGAGTCTCCGGGGCAACCTGGCTCAGAAGCCCCTGCTCGAGCCGGAGGTGGAGGTACAGAAGCCCACTGGGAATGGTCAAAGGGCCATTTCCTCCCAGCAACGACCACTTCACGGAGAAGTTCATAAGCAGAGGCTGCGCAGAGCTGCGGGTCTCACCAGCACGGCCTTTTTCACACTGAAGCTGGAATAACATCAGCGTGTGAGAACAGCAGACAGGATCACAGTCACGGTCTGGTCCTCGTATCAGGAGATGCTCCAGTGAGTGACTTGATAAACCAGTGATCACTTGCCAGACTTGTAAACTGAATCAGCGGTTGGTGCTACCGCAGCACGCTGTTTCTATCGTTATCCCCAACAGAAGAGTTACCAAAAGGGAGAACTAACTCCTCAGAAAAGATCAGAAAAAATGAGAGTAAAACAAGCCAAAGGTTTCACCTCCTCATCCCAGGCACCGGAAACAGCGCAGTTCCTTCAGCCAAAACAAAGTCTTTGTTAAAAATAAAGAAAGAACAGGTGAAGTCTAAATGCAGGAGGAGTACGCATCCTAAAACTATTGCTGGCCATCGAGCCATCAGTATAAATGGTTTATTTGCTCACAATCCAGACACAGAGGAAACAAATACTCCTTCTGCACAGCAGCTATCGGTTACTCTGCTACTTAACGAACAGCTGAAAGGGGATTTTAAAAACACAGGCACACACACGTATATACGCGCACACAAACATACGCACACAGGCAAAGCTACGCTGCCAGATGAGAAAGATTTGGTGCCTTGAAAAATCACAGATGAAGCAAATTCTGTTTCAGGAAAGACAGAAGCAAGACTTAGCAGCTGCAATGTAAGCAGCCAATCACTTACAGAACACCTTTCAGCTGCCAAAACCCAAAGTCTCTCTAAATGTGGGGCAATAAAGTTGCAGCACGAAGGGTTCAGCGCTCTGGCAAGCATTTCCCTCGCTTTTCTGTACCCAGCATCAGGTTTCAAAATAAACCCCCTGAACGCTATTCCAAGCACACAAACACCATCAATGCCCCACAGCTCCTCTTCCTCCCAGCTCACGGTCAGTGACCGTGCTGTAACCCACCGGAGCAGCCCTGAGCACCACACAAATCACAGCCTGGCACAAGGAATCGCCCCTCTGCAGCAAGAGGCAGCGCCCGAAAACCTCTGCTGCCATCCCAAAACCGTGGGGACACGCAAGCCCCGGGCGCAGCCCTTGCGCACAGACGCTGTGGGAATTCCACAGGGAAAAAACCTTAAAAACAGAAAGCGAGGCATTACCTTGTAGAGAGATGGGAACTTCAGCCAGAACTGCATCTGGGACATTTTAGAACTGCATTCAGTTTGCTGTCGGCAGAGCAGGACGCGGGCGAAGCAGCAGGGTGAGACTTTTCAGCGCAGAATGGAGAAAGGTCCTCATTCATGACCGCAACAGCAGCAACCGCCGGGAACGGGGCTCATGAAGGGTTTGAAAAGCGAGCATGCAGACGGAAGGAGGGAAAAGGGAGGAAAAAGGACAGAAAGGGACAGCCATGCAGTCCGTCCTGAGCCGGGAAATTTGCATAGAGCGTTTAGTCACAAGGAGAGCGCTCGCACTTCCTCTAAGCCCAGGGCTGACTTTCAGGAAATGATGCCTGCCTGGTAAGTCAGTGAAATTACTGGCAATGCGACCAGAATTACTGTATGTGGTGTAATCCAACCACACGCACTGTCAACAACGCTCGGCTCCGCCGCCAGGCGCGGCCCACAAGGGGTCCCCTCGCCTCGTCCCCCCCCCATCCAGCCCAGCAAACCCCAGTGCTCCCCTGCTGTGGGGTGGGGGTCCCGGCCCTCCCGATTTCAGGGGCTCCAATAAAGCCATCAAACTGGAAAAGATTACAAAAGTATCCACAGCTTTTTTTCCCCCACTTCCCCAGAGCCGTGCGCTGTCTTTTGTCTTTTGTATCTGCCCCACCCCAAATATTGCAATTACAGAATAAAAAGGAGTAGCCCTTTCCTTAAGTACTTTTCTTTTCTAGATCATTATTTCT